ATTTTCACTTCGTCGTCATGTGGGTTATTTTTTAATTCAATTATATATACCATGTATACTTATTGTATTTTTATCATGGGTTGGTCTTTGGTTAAATCGTGAAGCAACAAATGATCGTATTAATTTAGGTATAAATTTTTTTTTCTTTCTGTTTTGTTTTTTGATCACATATGTTTTATTTTCATTCAGGTGTAACAACAGTTTTAACACTTATATTTGTTATAATAGAAGGAAAAAAAGATCTACCAAAAGTTTCATATATTACAGCACTTGATTGTTTTCTAGCCGTTTGTTTTATTTTTGTGTTTTCAACATTATTCGAATTTGCACTTGTTCATTATCACACAAAAGCACGAACAGGTGATCTTAATGAAAATATGCGTGAATTAGAAGATTATATAATTCGAGTATGAAATCTAATTTTTATATGAAAATTTTTTTTTTTTGTATTTATTTTCTATTTGTATAGAATGATGATTCAGATCCAAATGATAATGATTTTACTAGTAGTGATATTCATTTAGTTTATCGATCTTCAACAAAAAGAAAATCATCATCGAAAAGGATAACATCAAAAAAAAGTTTAAAAAAATATTGTCAAAATTTCTATTGTAAACCAGCATATTCAGCATTTCAAGGACGAGCTTTAAAAAATATTTTTTATAAGAATAGTGTAAGTGAAATTGATATTATTGCAAGAATTCTTTATCCATTAACATTTTTTATATTTAATTTAATTTATTGGACTTATTATTTATATGCTAGTCAACAACAATCAAAAAGAGAAATGAAATGAAAGAAAAATAAAAGTATTGACTTTCAATTTATTGTATTATAATAAATTAAATAAAGAAATAATTTAAATAGTATTCAAATATTTTGAACTGTGTTTTAATGTATTTTTATTTAGAAAAAACTGAACATATTAATAAATAAATGAAAAAATTACAATTTCTTTCTTTTACTACAAAAGCGAATTAGAGAGACATATCATCCAAAAATTAATAGCATTGATATTGAATGTATAAAAAGTTTAATGTTAATTCACATTGTATTATAAAAGATTCAACAACATATTTTTAAATATATTTGAAAGATATAGTGATGTTCAGGAAAAGTGATACACATGAAATGATTAGTAGAATTAGTACTCATTTTGAAAAATGTAAAATATACTTTTCGAAACGACTACTAACATCTAACCAAGCTCGTTCTAGAGTTTTCAATTTATGATAAGTTGATTAATCTCTGGTTTTAACATGCATATGCTTATTTATTAATTTGTGCTAATTGACACGAGCAAAGAAATATATTTTTCTAACGATAAGATCTAATGTTTGTGCGAGAGTTAAAGAGCAGTGGACGTTATCTTAATAATTCAACAACAGAGACAACTAGACCACCTGTACTTTTCAGCAATCGAAGGGGAGAAACTTAGAACGTTTTGCTATGATAATATATAAGACAAAATAATTGTAAAATTCATCATCTACGCAAAAGTTTTAAAAAAAATGCATGGCAACTGTTGTTACTTTCAAGTCGATTTTGACTTTGGTACTGCTTCAGATAGATGGACCTAGACTCATAGTTAAAGGTATGACTCAAATGATTATCTTCACATGTCTCAGTATTGAGCAAACAAAATTGTGTATCTATTCGGTCAAATTATATAGAAATCTGTTGATATTTACCAACTGTTCTGTCTTTTCGCCAAACTTTATTGAAACGAAGCACAATTTTCATGTGTTTTATAGTTATGGTTGTGGACGTTTTCTGTTTGTTCATAGTGTCTGTTGTATTTGATCAATAAAAAAATAAAAATAAAATGACTTGAATATATACAATATGTTGAAATTTTTTGCTAGATATTTGTATTTGTTTTCGAATGTTATTCATGCTGAAGTTGATTTTTTTCTTTTCGTTTCACTTGAGTACCTCACTTCTCTTTTTTACCTGTGATTGTATGTAGTGTCATAAGGCAGCAAGCAAACAGAAAGAATGATTTATTGCAACATGATTATCATACTCTGTGTCGTATTTCACTTTTTCTTTATCGTTAAATTAATGCTGATGATATTTTAGGTAGAAATAAACAAATACAATGCATATTGTTACTTGAAAAAGCACGGTGAATTCCTGTTTCAGTAGACTCTTTCTTGTCCATGAAGAGTTTATTAACATATGAAGTCAATGAAAGTATAGGTAGAAAGTTGGTATCGTTTTTAATTAAAAGTTCTTTTTGTCGTTGAATAAAAAACCAATCCATTCTTACATAAAATTTGATATGTTTATTCTCATCTATGTTCTCATATCACTCTCAAGGAAAACTAAATGAAACTATCATTATTAGTTTGTTTTTAAAACGAGACATAAGATCCATGATATTTTTCTATCGCTAGTTGATTATGGTATTGAAAAATATATACAGTTTCAAAATTAGTTCATACTGTATATTCACTTGAAATCCAAAATAGACTAATCGTTTATGAGATTAGAGAACTTTCGAAATAGATGAGATGTCACATTCAGCGAAAACATGATTTTATATTGTAGAGAGTAGAAGACTGAGGTTCATGTACGCTTACTTTTATACACCAGGAACCGATTCATAGAAAACAAATCGGGTTTTGTGCTAATGAAAAATGAATAGATATTGTATTAAAACTCGATCCAATTCATAATGCACTGTTGCACGAGAATTCTTGATTAACATTGTAATCTCGCCAAGTGATAAATTGCTTTTCAGATGAATCTTACCCTATATAGTAGGGTCTATTGTGATTAGAAAAATTCTAAAATGATTCATACCTATGGGTCTTTCTTCTTTTGTGCATAGTCATTTTACTGAGTTTTTAAATAAAATGTCGTGGTCTCGTTCAAGTAACTTTCAAAAACTACTTTCGATTTGAAACTTTGCATAAATAAAGTTCTCAATGGGACTACATAGTTCATTGTGAAAGTTTGAATGAAATTTTCAGGATATTCTAGTGGCCACGAGCTTAATCGATTAGCAAGACTTCAAATGAAAACCTTGAGATTGAGTTTTTTTTTGTAAATAGCTGACTCAGGAGTAAAAACCGTACTAAAATAGTCATAACTTTGTTTGGATTATGCTTGAGTACAAATTCGTTTTAGATTTCTTAGTTTTTACAGAGTCTTACTCATAGTCAAAATATGGGGTCGAACGGTGTCCGACAGTTGAATAGATTTTCTCGTAAGCACTATTGCTGGTGAAACTTCTTGAATTATCTCGAAAATGAATACAGAATAATTACTTCGACTTTGTCATTTTGTGAAGCGAATCGAGAAGGACCGTGATTCTTTTTCGAAGTTTCGGAAAAGAATCGATCACATACGAACATAGAATTTTGTAACAATGTGTTATTAGTGATATCTATTTCGATAATCAAATTCTACAAGATAATATAAACTCAGCTGGAGCAAATTCAGTCTTCTTTTGACAGTACAATTGATAATTCAGAAAAACAGCTTGAATTCTGAATGTATTAATTCCAAGGATATACACTATGCCAGCTATTATCTTTTTCTAAAAATATAGCTTCGTATAAGTTTATGATGTTCTTACATCAAATTATACATTTTATATATCCAATGCTTCGTTATGTATTTGTGTAGAATAAAAAAAAAGTTTTTATGACATAAAACGATCAAGTAAAAACTAACATATAATCATCAATTTGTATGAGTAATTGAAGTTTTTTAAACACATAGAATCTCGGTCAAATTGTTAAAATTTAGGCTGTTATTACCAGGAAAAAATCCTACAATTAATCGTAAAAGTAATGTTTTATAAAACAAAATTTTTTCAAATTTACAGAGAAACAGGCTTGATGAGTCTTATGTCTTTAATTGAAATCCTATTTGCGAATAAAAAGATAATGTGAATAAAAAATATATAGTACAAATATATATTTGAAAGAAAAAAGTCAGACATCATCAAATAAATAGTTTAGTATAAATTCAAAATATGTTTCTTTGTTTTATTCGATAAAATTATTTTAAATGAACAAAGTATATTATCGGTTGAACTCAATTACTTTCAAATTTAAGAAAAGATTAACATACAATATACATGTTTTTTAATAAAGAAAATCTGATAGAGTTGAAAAAAACATCATTACTATTAGTAGAAATTTTTGAAACTATCCTGCATTGCAGACAGTATAGTTTCGATCTTTTTTTTTTTATAAAAACATTATTGAAATATTAGCAATCCAAATGTGGAAGCTCCTAAATCAATCAAATTATTAGAACTGAGCAGAGAAAATATTATTGTATCATCAATTAATCAAGACGCGTATTATAAAAATAAAACTCAATAAAATGCTACTTATTTCTAAATTTCAATCTAGAAATGAAACTTTAGCATCATTTCGCATTAATGCACTTCTCAAAAATGTCAAGTAATAATTTTGATAGTTGATAATGAAATTACCCATCCAAAAAAGCTCCATTATGCTGTTTATTAATACATAATCGCACACACAAATGTAAAGTGTCTATTGAATGTCAAACACTTAACACATTATTTTCCACATAAAAGTTTAGCTATTAACTCCTGATTTTATATTGTTTTACTAGTTGAGTGGTACTATTTTTAAATTTACATGCATAGTTCATTCATCAATAATAAATTGCTACCTTTTTTTTAACAATCATATTAAAGGTATTCAGTCATTCTTAAACAAAACTTTTGACCCTATAAATTACTAACATGACTTATTGAACAATATCCTAAAGAAAAAAATGCTCTACAACATTGTTGTTTGTTTGATATATAATAACAAGAAAGTATGAATTTCTATTAATATAAATCATATATTTTTGTTAGAAAGACATGAATATTCACAGGAGTCTTATGAGCATCTTTGTTTTTCTCATTAAAATCATATGATGAGAATAGAATTCAAAATGAGATTGAGAAAAATGTTATTATCTGTTATTTTCCTAAAGTCTATAATTATCTATAAAATAACAAAATGAATTTTATCTTTCATCATTCTAGTAAAATGGCTTATAATGGAAGACAAACTTCATTAACTTTACTTGTTTTAAATCAAACAACTAAAAATAATGATTTCAATCCACTTAACAATTCGATTGATCCAACAGAAGCAGTTTTAATTGCATTTCATATTGGTCGTATAATATCTTTTCTGTGTATTATTTTTGGTATTCTTGGAAATTTTGCACTTATATTAATTATTTTTCGTTCATCATTTTGTTATTTTTCCTATGGTTTAATTCTTTTATTTATTTCAACATTTGATATAATTCGCCTTATTTCTACTATTTTTTATTATTTACTTCAAGCTAATATTATTCCATTAAAATTATCAACTTTAACAATTTATATAACATTATATCGTTATCCAAAAATTGTTACAAATTGGTTAAAAGTATTTTTAGCTATTGAAAGATTTATTGCTATTAAATATTGGGTTGAACATCATTATAATATTAATTCAAATAATGCAAAAAGAATTCATCGTTCCCGACAAAGAAAAATTTTATTATTAATTCTTATTTTTCTTTCATGTTGTTTAATAAGTCAACATCCAAATTTAATTCCATATCGTTTTATATCAACATATATTCATCCAACTCGTTTACTTATTATTGCTACACCAAATCCACATTTTTATTATGGGTGTTATGTATTTAATGGTTTTTTATATACTCTAATTAGTTATGTTATTCTTGATGATGTTCTACCAATAATAACATTAATTATATTTAACACAATTCTTCTTTATGAACTAAGACATCTTCCAACACTAACAAGTAAAAAATTAGCTGAATCAATATTGATTCTTTTCTTTCTGACAATATTTTCAATATTTGTTGTACCAAGATCATTTCTTATTATTTTTAATTTATATGTTGATCAAACGTATATTAATGATACAATTATTTCAGTGGTATTTCATACATGCCAAGGTATCTATCTATATATATATAGGATAAATATATGATAAATAATTTTCAATTTTATTCTCTAGGTCTTGAATTGATTAATCATGCCGTAACTGGATATGCATGTTTTTTAAGTTGTCACAGTTTACGTAAAGGCTTAATTCAAAATATTCGATGTAAATATGAGAAATTTCAACGAAAAAGCAATTCATTGAAACCAACTACAATTGAGTTACGAACTATATCTCAAAAAAGATTATAACCTTTATTTAATCTTGTAACAATAAATATTCGAGCGTCTATTCTTCGACTTAATTGTGTTATCTTGAATTTCTTGATTGCACAATGATCAGTTAAAAGGGCTATGTAATTTACAATTTCTTTTTCTTTTTATATTTATCTATGTTCTATTAAACACTAATTTAAAGAGAAAGGTTAGATATATATGTATATATATATACAAAATGTGCTGCTCTTTATAAACCATGAATGAGTAGACAAATTGAAAAAAATTGTTTTCTTAAAAAAAAAAAGTAATGAATCAAAATAAACTAGTATATATTGGATCAGGTGTATCTGTTGCAATTGTTTTCTTTATTGGTGGACTTCTTATCGGTCGTTTTGCTATTCCAAGACCCTCAAATACTATTGTTACATGTAATATATCAACAGTAAATAAACGAACTGAAGAAGAAAGAAAAATAATATGGAATGATTTAAAGCAACGATTTCTTAGTCTTGTTAATGCACAAGAAATAGAAAAAAATCTTCAGTGAGAAAATATTTTCTTTCTTTTCTTTTTTTTCAATTCAAACTCTTGATTGCTATGAATTTAATATAGAAATTTTACTCGAAATACTCATTTGGCTGGAACAGATGATGATCGTACTGAAGCTGAATCAATTGCTACAAAATGGCGTGAATATGGATTAGATGTTACTATACATCCATATGATGTATTACTTTCATATCCACATCCTATTCAACCAAATATGTAACTATATCTTCATATTAATTTTATGAAACGTATTGATTTCGAATTAAATATAATTTGTTGTTATAGTGTATCAATTCTTGATCAAAATAATAATGTAATATTTCAATCAAATGGAAGTGAACCAATATTTAATGAAGATGATCAATCATTACCATTTAAGAATATAGTTCGGCCATTTCTTGCTTATAGTCCAAATGGAATTGTACAAAGTCGAAAATTATTCTATATAAATTATTGTACTATAGAAGATTTTCAATTCATGGAAACTGTTATTGATAAAAATGAATTAAATGGAAGTATAGTTATATGTCGATTTGGAAAAATTTTTCGTGGAAATAAAGTAGAACATATACAAATAAAGAAGAAGAAAAAGAATTTTTCTATGTAATTTCTTTTAATTAGATTAATAATGCTGAAAAATATGGTATAATTGGAGTCATTTTATATAGTGATCCAATTAATTTTGCACCAAATTTAATTAGGCCTGGTTCAACATATCCAAATTCAATTTATATGCCTGATATGGGACATCAACGTGGTACGGCATTAGTATTATCTGGAGATCCATTAACAAAGCATTATCCTTCTAAAGGTGATTATCTGAATACAATACTTCTAATATGATATTTTATTAATTATCTATTTATTTTAGATTACATGTATAGAGCTCCAATAGAAAATAATCCATGGTTACCAAAGATTGTTGCTCAACAAATTGGTTACAGAGAAGCAAAAGAAATATTAATGTAAGTTTAAAGTCTAAATGACAAAGTTCAACATGTTTTTTAGCAAAAGAAAAAAAGATTTGTATATAACTTCGATGATAGCTGAGAATTTTTCATCTATTACAACTGTCACAATTGATGAAGTCTTCTGTTTTTCTTTGCTTAAAATTGTATGTCTTCTGTTATAATTGACAAAGTTCAAAAATAATTATTTATTTTCTTATCAATTATCAAACTATAACTGCGAAGAAAAAGCCGATTCAATGAAAAGTTTAGTTCATTCAGTTTTGTAGAGTTTTCAAACATACTGAGTTTCAACATATCAATTATCTTCAAACAGTATTTCAAGAACATATCAGACTAGCTTGCCAAAATCATATTGGTGCAAGTATGCTATTGGATGATTGTTCCAAGAGATTATTTATAAATACCTTTCTAAATGCAGTTCATTGCTAGATGACAACGAAGTTCGTATGCATAACATTTAAAGCATCGAACGAATATCAGAATATACGGATGAACCATCAATGTGGAGACAAAATGTTTCTTCATTTTTTCGATCGATTAAGATAATCAATATAAACTGTAAAATATTGATTTAACAATCAGAATTTTTTTTGCTTTTTGCTGAATCTTTGTTATAAGTTTTTGTTAGACTGCATGTTTCATAAGTTATGAGGGAGTCTTTGAAAGGCTTGAAAATGAATTTTGGACGAAGCCAATTGTACTAACAGAATCATAGACAGAGAATGTCACTGTATCTCGTTTGAAATTGTTTTCAGGATGTTCTTCAGCAATTGTTTTTCTTAGCACTCTGCTGTGGAGATATTCATTTTGTTTAGATCTTTTTTCTTTTCGTTTGATCGCATAATATTTTGAAAAATTTTTGAACTAGTACCTGAAAAGCAGACATTCTTAGTAAATGATATTCACTATTACATCTGTTGTATCAGTAACTTTTTTTCACACAATGTCGGCCTAAATCGTGTTCTTCAAAATGTGTTGAGAACATAAATTCTCAAAGTAGTCCTCTGGGAGTAAACAAATGTATTTAGAAGCCTGGCAATCAAGAAATCGCAAAAGAAGAAACTGTCTTTTGTCATAACTTCTCACTGTTCATAAGATGCCTTGTGAAAGACTAGTGATCAAGATATTACTGTGAGGAGGAATATTTTCTCTTCTTCGATTTGTTTGAAATTTATTTTACGTCTATCCTATATGATGTCTTTTGCGCTATGAAATTGATTCAAACTTTATTTTTGAGGCTTTCCATAGATTCATTCATGACTCATAAAATATGAGTCATAAAAAAATTCCGAACCTTGATTTGGAAAGAGAACAAAATTATAATTCAAATCCAATGTTTTAAAGCTTCTGGCTATCCATTTGAATCGGCAGCCGAATGAAGGAAGATTTCATTGTCGAATCTCTCGACTCATTCGTTAACAATTGTTATAGACAATCATTTTTTCTTCTGTTTTTAGTCGAATGACAGGAATACCGGTTGTATCTAATTGGACTGGTGGTCTTGATCAAGTGAAGTATGTGTATGGTGGTTTATTATTAGATGACCTGTAAATAAAAATTATTGTCTTTTAAAGTCAAAACTTTTTTAAATTTATAATAATAGATCATTAAAAATATCATCTTACAATACATTACAAATTCGACGAGTACATAATGTGATTGGAACAATAACTGGTCATATTGAACCAGGTTCTATTTCATCTTTTATTACTTTCTTTTCCAATTAAGAATTTTTGTTTTTTATCAGATCGTTATGTGCTAATTGGAGCTCATTTTGATGCTTGGAATTTCGGAGCTATCGACGATGGATCTGGAGTAGCTGTTAATCATGAATTAGTTCGTGTATTTACATCATTAGTGAAGTCAAGTAAGTCATTGAACATTATCGAACATATTTATTGTTTAGCCATATTTAGATTGGAAACCAAGACGAAGTTTAATGTTCTGCGCATGGGCTGCTGAGGTAAATAGTTTAAAATAATTCAATCATACATAAAAACATTTATTCATGTTAGGAATATGGAATTGTTGGTTCAATTGAATTTGTTGAAGTAAACAGACGATAAATATATTTCTTTTATTTTCTTCTTATATTCATTTATTTTACAAAAGGAATTCGCCAAAATATTAGGTTCACGTGTTGTTTCATATATTAACATGGATGCTATTGTCGCTGGTAAAAAATACTGTTCATTTTTTTCTTCTTTGTCTTATATTTTTCTACAGGGATTGATTTCATGCTCATGGAAATGTCTCCATTACTATATGATTTTGCTATTGATATATCTAAACAAGTATGTATGATGTTTATTTTGACAAGAGAACAAGTTTTCCTTCCAATCAAAGGTAAAAGCAGCATACAGTAATGAAACAATTTATGAACAATGGATACGTATTAACAATGGTAATCAAAATATTGGAGAAAAATTTTTGTAAGTTATTTCTAATGAGACTAGATGTTATAAGAGTTTGACATCGTTTAGTACAATGGGACTTAGTGCTATTTCGGATTTCGCTGGTTTTAATCAAATTGCTGGAAGTTCAAATATTGCAATGGGTTACTTAAACAAAGTTTGTTTGTACAAAAAGAAAAAGTTGTTTTCCTTTCTAAAGTTAAGATTTTTATTTAGAACGATGTAAAAGGTATTGGTACTTATCCATTATATCATACTCAATACGAAAATTTTCGATTAGTTAAAACATTTGTTGATCCTCAATTTCAGGTGAGTTAATATTTTATCATTTTTCTTAAATTCTACTGTCAATCTTAATGATGATAATTTTCTAATAAAAGAATTTTCTACAGGATAATGGATGATACAAAAGTTATACATTAGTTTTGGTTTCTTTATAGAATAAGAAGAACTTATTGTAAAGATTTGAGAGTGTTCTTGTTAGAAAAAAACAAACTTTCGATTACAAAGCTATGTAAAAGTCTTCGGTCCAAAGTATCTATCGAGGCGTTAAGAAATTAAAGAACACACTCGAACGGAAAAGTTCTCTGTATGCTTTGAGGTTTAAAAGAAAGCTTGAAGTTGCAAAGTTATTTTTATTTTCCGTCTTCTATCCGGTTTTGTAGCACGACGACAAGACATCGTAAGCAGATAAAAATAATAGTTTCAAGTTATAGTTTCAATTTGAACTCGATATTTTTCTAACGGCCATTTGCTAGGAAAAAATGTTTATAATTAATAATTGATTTCGAAAAAAATAATTTTTTCCAGCAATCAAAATTACTGAAACACCAACTTTAGTAAGCTTTCTACTAATGCACATTATATAAAAATAGAATAGTTTACATTATAAGAAAGAATTCACACCTCGGTTTTTGAAGATGAAGGTAAGAGAGTTTCTTGTTTTTTTTAGGCTCATCAAGCAATAGGTCGAGCAATTGGCTTATCAGCATTAACTCTGACTGATATTGACTTACTTCCATTTAATCCTGCAAGATATCATCAAGCACTAGTCAATTTACTTAATTTAACAAAATCTATGGCACCCAAATCGATCAATTTTAGTGAGTTTCTATAAAATTTTTTGTTATATTTGTATACTTTGATAAATATTAGCATCATTACAAAATGCTATCGATCATTTTAAAATTGCTGCTGATCAATTCAATCAACGCATTCAAACGACACTTAATAAATCAAAGTAGGTTGTTTTTGTTATCTATGATGATCTTCAAGAAAGTGTCTATTTTTTCATATTGACAAAACAGGTGTATCGATGACACACATTTGTATTATATCGAACACGAATATCACAAAGAACAGAAACTATCAGAATAATCTCTCTGAGGTTAAAATGCCTAACATGATAAAATTACTTGTATTATCGAAAAGAGAAAGAAAAATAAATGTTTTGATGAAAAAGGAACGGATAAGATGTTATATAGTTGTGCAATGTTACAATCAATATGAACGAAGACTGAAAGATAAACATTACAATTCCTATCCATATTCTATATATGGTGGTAGATATACTAAGGATCAAAATAAGGTTGAAGGGAAGGAATAGTCAAATATCTTGATTATAGAATTCAATTATGTCTCATTGTTTTCCTGTGTGCTTCAGTTTCATCACGGAATCTATTACGATGTATGTAAGAAAAGATCTAAATATTTCACTTCATAATTTCATCCCTCCTTTATGTTTGAAATCACAAAGAATCGGTCGTTTCTTCTCATCATAAATACCAAGAGTTATTTTTTTCATTTATATTTATACTATGAAGGAAATTTTTGAACGACAAATTTATATTAACAATAGAAAAGAAATGAGTTCTCTCTCCATACTTCAAATTTTTCAAAGAATAACGGAATCGATTGTTTTTTCTTGCATATAACCGAAGAACAGATTAAGACATATACCTTTCTGAGATTAGTTAGTACAAATATTGAAACAATCGATTCATATATAAATTCATGCTATAGTCCAATACAACTTCGAATAGTCAACGATCAGCTGATGCAACTCGAACGAGCATTTCAAAATCCATTAGGCAATGCTATAGAGCAAGCTGATCTTAAGTAAGTATTTAAATAAAATCTATAAACACTATTCTGTGAATACTATTTAAAATATAGACACACAATATATGCACCAAGTCGAACAAATCGATATAATGCTCGTGGTTTTCCAGCTATAATTGATGCTATCGAAGATCGTAATATAACAAATATTCAACAACAAGTTTCCATAGTTACATATTTTATTCGTTCAGCAATGACTGTTCTCTACGAACCGAATAAAATTCAAACAACATCATGAAGTATTTAAAAAAGCTAATAAAAAATAATAAACATTTTCTATTTTAGTGTTTTTTTTTATTTTTCTTTCATATTTGGAAAAAAACATTTTATTTACATTATCTTTTATCTTATTTTCTCTGTAAAAAAAAAACAACACAATAAAATACAAATATATCACATTGTGTTTATAAAATATAATAAACAGTTTTAAGTAATTGTTTTTTTTTTCTGATAATGGTTGACTACATAATTTTGATTTCGATGGTTTTCATGTTAATGGAAGAAGAAATTTCTAAGAGTTTTTAGGTTATTACTAAAATCTCATTGATAAATCTTGTGGTTTATGTTTATAAAAAATATTTTTTAATTTAGTCATTCGGTATTTGATTTGATTAAAAGAAGTTTGACTTTGATTTAAAAGGTATTCTTTATATATTTGATATTTTAATTGAATAAAATGAAATAATTTTATCAATAAACCACGATATAATGAAATGACACGACGATTACATACGTAAACACCAAATATAAATAAACCGGGTGTTGCATTAAGAAGTATAAATAAATAGTTAAATATAACAGCCAAATAATATAGAAAACCTTGTTGACCATCAGGTAAAGCAAATAAAATAAAACCAATGGTCCAACCAAAACCAGCTAAAACAGCCATTCGCATATAAATTTTTACATCATGTTCACCAGGTATAACTTGTTTTTTATGTTGAAATTTACGTTCGACTGCTATACGTACTAGAAAAACAATTTATTTAACATAAAAGAAAAAAGTTGAGATCAAAATTTTTTACTAGATTTTATACTTCGACGAACATTTCGAACAGTTAATGTATAAAATATAAAATTAATTACGAGTATAATTGCTACGGGAACACCGAATAGTAGAAAACGCATCAATGCTGATTCAATCCAACAACCTAAACATATTATAGAATACATGACATTGATAATCGTGAATGTTAGAAGAATATTTGTTCAATCATAAATTGAAGTTCGTTTACAAATGGAAGTATCAGAGACGGGCTATTGAGTTTTGTGAAATTTATTTGTTACCCTGTTTTTACTAGCATTGATCGGTGGCGGCGTAAATTGCTGTTTATCATCATGGATAGAAGAAAATATTCAAAATTTGAATATTATATTCTACTAAACAAGTTTTGATTTTCAATAGAAACGTTAGAGTGTTCATATATATAACGTTGTATGAATTTTGCAACACGCATTTGATCTAATTGTTTGTAGGTCAGCTATATCAGACTGAACATTACCGCTTTTGGTTCAATTAAAGTTTTTCAATAGCACAAAACCATGATAGTTATTATAATATAAATAAAGACAAATGCACCTTACATCTATGCTAATAAGTTCTGCTTATTCTCTAACGTCACAATATCAATGATATAGGTTACTCTCATGGGTAACGCTATTTTCTTTATAGTTTAATGGATAAAGTGAAAATTAAGTTTAAAAAATACATGATTTCTAGTAGACGACAGCAAACAATCGTTTATAACTTTAAAATATGGTAATCTTCATAAGAAAAAGTATTTTTGATTACCAATATTTTTCGAGTGGTAATTGGTCATTGTTTCTTCTTGGGAGCCTTTACACGATACACATAACTTCTCATTCACATTGAGCACTTTGCTTTCAGAATTCAAATAGACAAATGTATGCTTAAAAATATCGTTTTCTACGTTATTATTGAAACACATTGAGTGAGTCCAAATGAATGCAACATTGGATATTTTACAAATATGTCAGCAAAGACAAATGATAGTCTTGAATTTTTCTGTGATATGATGTATCGCAAGAATTTTCTTCAATAACGAAAGTTAAGAATTCTCTCGATGGATGATAATAGATTTAGGGAGAGCTAAAATGAAAGATGTATAAGGTATGGTTTTATTACTCATCGAAACTCATTTCTTTTCTTCCGAAGCGTTTGTATCATTGTTAGAGTGAGAAATTAGAGCATCTTATACGTTCTTCGTGTTAAATTCTTTTCTTAATTCACTACCACATATCGATAGTATCTTTTAATTTAATTATCTTAGAGAATTTCATACCGTATCTTTAAACAAAATCTACTTTTTATGATTTGTCTTAGTTCAGATGTTTGAAAAATATCCGATGTTGAAATGGGTTTGCCTAATCCAGTATATACCTTAGTTTGCTTTGTACGTTACATTTACGTTCTTATTCAAGCCAAAGATATCCTTAACTAATTGACTTGGTTGATAGTAGGAAGCACTACAGAGGGAGATTGAGACTGTTATTGATTGAAAACAGCATCTACTCTACATTGAGAAATAATTATGTGAAATAAGTGCTGAAAAAAAAAGCTAGTCATTCAAAGGACTATTATTCAATCTTCATATTCTTTAGAGTCACTGATAACAACTTACCTTGTAAAGGTGCATCATGTTTTGTATGAAAACAAATATCATAACAACCACGAAAATATCTTCCATAACACGGTTTTAATTGAGCATTTTTTGCATCTAATATAATTCCAATTAAAATAATAATAACTGGCATACCCCATGCATATAAAGCATAATATGGTAAACGTTCACGAATTTCACAAATATAAATTGAAAAACCTTTATGAAATGTTTTCCATAGATCAAATGCCATAACATTCATCCAAAAAAAACTTGCCAAAAAGAAATAATGTATTCCTAATGCAAATAATAAACAAACACTTGGTTTCGTCATTATTAATAAACTTTGTAATAAAAATAAAATTTCAGCTAATATTAAAGCTATAATTAAATTCATTATATTACATCCAGGTAAATTACGTAATGATGAAAATAATATAAATGTTAATAATGTTATTGATAATGCACATATTGAAAGAAATATTGCTATTGTTGATAAATATCCAGGAACTTTATCAAAAAAATCTAATTTTTTTCCATTCTTTGTATTATTATATGAATTATGTTTACATACAACAATATATAAATCTGAACGAAAATCATCATAGCGATATTCACGATTTGTATATAAACGACCAGTACGTTTAATACGTATTGAAAGATTTTTATATTGAGTTACTTCACAAAGTGCTATACGCATAACAAGACTATCTGGACAACGATCAACTATTCGAGGTTGACGATTACAAACTAACATCATTTTTACTGCTGAAGTTGAATTTAACGTTGAAGATGTTAAAGCATCTTGGGACTAAATATTTAGACGAAAATAAAAATCTTTAATTTAAAAAACAAACACAAGAAAAAATTACTGTTTTCTTTAGTTGTTGTTGTTGTTGTGTTAATGTTGAAACCATAAATAAATAAGTATAATCTCCACTTTCATATGTTGTTTCAAGTTCAGGTACATCAACAACATAATCAATTTCTCCATCGGATCTTATACGTCTACGTATAACACCAGTATTTGTTGGATATAATACATCCGGTTCACCACAAAATTCATGTCGAGTTTTATTTTTATCTGATATAATTGATACTTTTTCAACTTTAATTGAATATTTTTCACATAGATCCATTATGACATGAAATTCTGATGCAAATAAAAGAAGTGTTACAATATGTAAACTAGTTAATGTATCATTTGATGTTTCATTTCGATCAGTAATAGAAAAATTAAAATTTACAATAATTGATTTGTTATTAATAAGTTGTTCACTAATACTATCAGATACTGGTGAATTTGGATGAACTATTAACGTATTAGTATCTTTTTCAGAAGTACTACTTATTGCTTTCGAATTAATCTTTGATGGACTTTGTGAAACTTTATATTGGTTTTGTTTGACAAGGTACTTAATTTTTGTGATACGTTCATAATCGATATCAAGATAACCTAAATAAATATAGATCATATAGAATTTTGAGGATAGTCACACCAACAATTTTTCAACGCTTTATAGAAATCCAACAAAATTTTTTTTTTATTACAAATCGAATTGTATTCTTGCTTTTAATTTTTGTATTTATTTTGGCACTATTATTTGAATTCAAAAACATCATTTTTAGGACAACAGATAAAATTATTTGTTACAATTGTTAAGATTTTCCATAAACTTCATTCTAACATTTTCTATCTCATAATATTCATTTTTAATTTTATATAAAACTATCTTTATATCAAACAAAAGAAAAATTATGTCACTTTACTTTAATAAAAGATTTAAAAATGTCTTGTCAGTAATATTAATATAATCTCTTAATACTACTTGATGTTAAATTTGTTTTTTGTGAAAGTTACAACTTCTTATTAACTTAAAGATGATTTGACAAGAGGTACAAGCATTCAATAACTATCCTAATAGAAGTTTTTTTTAGAAATATTTTTATTCCTTACCAGAGAATTTTTCTGACTACATATTTCGTAAGATCTTTTCTTGGAAGTAAATGTTTTAATTTTTTAATTATAAACTTACCATGAAGTGTATTATGAAACATTTCAGCCCAATCATTCGTACATGTTTCATTCATTTGACTGTTAAGACGTTTCGAAAAATTGCCTTTTTCACTTTCATTCCAATTCTTTGGTAAAATAACAAGTGTTATAGATACATCAATATCACTCATTCGTTTGTATACATTTACAGTATTTTTACTTTCATCCGGTACACATGTAGTTCCATTAAATTTATAATTAATTTCTTGACAGTAAGTATCACGACAACGACCAATAGCTGGATCGAATATTTGTCCATGTTTACAAAGTCCATAATCCAAGTAAACGACCTCTGATCCTAGTTTAGAAAGAAAAGTAATAAAATATTACAAATATTTGCATTAGCATTGGATGATTATTATTTCAAGTTAAATATTGTTTTGTTCGTATACATTACCTTGTATAATTTGTAATGACATCGTTCCATCATCTTTAAAATTCATAAGTAATGCAAGAGATTGAGGTACACTAGCACGGTTTTGTTTTTCTTTCAATTTCGACTCAACAATACTATTATCAGAGTTGACTATTTTATTCCAATTAGAAATCTATATGAATCAACAATAAGAAAGTTTATATATGATTAAAACTAGAAAAATCTTGCCTTAGTCAATTGATTTGTTAAGACGAAAGAAATTTCAAATAGAAACAAACAAATAACTTTAATCATAATCATCATTATTATTATTGCATATCAACTGATCAGAAAAATGCACTATTTTATCGAATATGGTTTTTTTTTTCTTGTTTTTGTCTTTCACTTCAGAGAAACTATTGTCAATACCAAAAAAAAAGTATGTTTAATAGCAAGCATGGGAATTCCAACAGGTGTTCGATATATACATTATAGAGCTATTTAGTTTTCTTTTATATGTGTTTTTATCAATATGCTGTCACGCTTTCAAAGACTGAAAAAACATTTTGTGAAAACAAGAAATAAAAATAAATAGTTCAAATTTTATTCTTGAACAAATTAAAAATTGAAGTCAATTAATGTGTTAACCTTTGATTTTATTATATTTATTATTGACAAATAGACATAGAGGGAATTGAGTCTAATTGAAAATTGTCATACTTATTATAGCGTTGTTTCTTAAACACGCTAAATATTGCCATTGTTAGAAAGAAAAACAAATCATAATTTAACCTACATTTTAAGAAGAAAAGTAGTTTTCTTTTTTTTTGCACTTCTTAACACGTGAATGTAACAGTCATTTTCTAGAACTATCTAGAATCAATAGCCATCATTGTGATTGAATAGGTAGTGATAGTGTTTTTCTTTCCATTGATGATGCATTATAATTAGAAACGATGGAAGAATTCTTTTTTTTGTAATGTTTAAAAAAAAACTCAGTAATACATTGAAATGAATACAACTAAATTGTAATTGATGTTGTTATTCAATGTAAAACAAAAGTAACAGTTAATTCATTTTTTCAGTTCTATATAAAGAAATCACTTCTTACCTACTACAGAGTTGTATGATATTTAATAAATGGATTTCAAATAGATTTATCAGCTTGAACTTTCATGCATCAGTAATTTCTCGTTTTTCTTTTTCTTTTTTATATCAACAAAAAACTAAATAACAGAATTCACAACGTATAGTGTACTAGAATCTTGTCGAAACTAAAAATTGTAGAGTAAATCTTTCTCCATCAAATAAGATGTTAAAGAAGTTTTAGAGAACTCATAGTTTGGTATTACAATGAAATCTTAATGGATATTGAATTCGAAATTTTTTGTTAACATTGTACATATAATTACTATCAATGCTGAATTGTGAACACTTTAACGTAATACAAGACCCATTTGGAAAGTTAATTGTAGAGCTTTGTAAGTTCGGAAATCAACCTGTTCTTAGCCTTTTAAGTTTTTCAACACAAAACTCTGAAAAAAGAAGATATATTCTGATGTATAATGGGCTAAACCAGCGAAAATGCGACATTCATCGGTTGTATTTGAATGCAACTCTCTATCAGTATAAGTTTTTTGACTAAATTGTTTTTGTATAGACTTATGTAAAATTGTCTGCTCTTTCACATGGGTATTAATTAATTAATAATTAACTAATTGAGAAGTAATTAGTGAATATCTCGATAACTGAATAACGAAAAAACTTGAAAACGTCAGGATAGACTCTAGGGTATGAGCCACATATATGGTAAAATTTTCAGCGAAATCGAACTTCAAAAATTTCCTTCCGAAAAATTGACCTTTCAGAGCCTTTAGACAGAACTGAAACGAAAACGTTTGTCTTAGTATTATTCTAGGGACTCCTACCATTGACATGAGTCCTTTGGAATCTATTTCGAACTTTTCAGTTCGCTACCAGAGCATTTGATCGGTAGTGAAGTTGTGCTCAGTCACGTCGCTAACGCTGAATAAATTTTATTTTTTGAAAAACCTAGACATGCTCAAAATAATTTTACACCGGGATTTGGTAGTCTTAGGAGTTGTGTCTAGTATCACGCATTAAGTTTTCGGTGATTGTGCAACACTTGGAAATTTTTAAAACTCAAAGTATATCAAGTGATAGTTGATGTACTTTTTGATGTCACGTCGTTAACGCTAGTTTTTCGTTAATAACTCGTCTGAACACAGCTCTAGAGTGTTGATTTTGTCATGGTATTTATAGTAAATAGAAACTCGTACAACATGCAAAAATCACACCTAAACTAGCTGATAATTCCGAGATATGCATTCTCTAAGTTTGAGATATCACGTCGCTAATGAATGGTTTAGCCCATATACAAATTAAAAGTTCTAATTTTGGAGAAATCAGTTAATTAAGAAAGGTCTTCTGTTACATCCGGCGTATCGTTTCCTCAGAAAAGTCTTCTATTTCTGGAAGGAGTTTACATCATACAGATGTTCTTGACATTTTTAACCTTGTGAACAACTGTGTACTCTGCTTTCACATGTACGCAAGATCTTCAATATTTACTTCCAATGCATACTGAACAGAAATAATCGAGTCAATCATGTTGAACAATAAATTAAACATCAGAGAATTTTTTTTTTTTTGTCAATTTATAAATAAATAATTTTCTATCCTTTATATACTTCGTTTCTTTTTCAATTCTATTACAATGAGCAAATGTCGTCATGAAAAATAATGTGAAGTATATATTGCACAACTCACATGACAACGAGCGAAGAAACGAATTTCAATTAATTATTTATCTTAAACAAATATTTAATGCCTTAAGAACTAGCGTATTTATTTTTACTCAGATAATTCTTCGTTTCTTTTTCTGTACTATATGCATGCTTCTATAAATAGGACTCTTCTTTTTTTTTAAAGTCATGTATGAGTCAGATATTGTGAAATTAAAAATTTATTCATTGAAAAAATGCAACAGGCGAATTATTACTCAAGACCTAATCAAAATATAGAATTGTAAATTACTCTCATATATAAATATATTGTATGACGAGTGCTATTTAAATGATAAGTTACAGTCATCAAAATACGATAGAATGTCATGCACGTCAATTTAATTAATCACAAAAGTCTTTTTTAAACTAGCATTTGGAAAAAAAAAAAAGAAAAATTACATCATTCTCATGATGATTTAAACTAGAGAAAAAATTCTCAAGGCAAAGAAAAGTTTAATATAAACAAAAAACAAATCGATATTTATCAACTTTAGATATAATGATAACATATCCGTATTTACTTTCAATAGATTTTTGATTGATATCTTTTATGATGTTTTTTTTTTTCTAACAAAAGAAGAATATTCTTTTGTAAATCTATTGATAATTTTTGTCGACCATCAAGTTGTCGCAATGTAACATATCAGTCTAAATCGTACTATTCACATGCGTATGAAAACATCAAATACGTCTGTTGCCATATATAACAATTACCAACAATCATTATGTTTTTTCCTTGATTTTATGCACCAGATTTTGATCGTTAACAAAAAAAAAAAATTCTTTCTTTTTTTTTTTTTGAATATCATGGAGTGTACAATTATCGACTTTCAATTGTGTGAATATGCCGCTCAGCAGTGATAAGATGAAGACAATACAAGTTAGAAATATTGGTCTTGTTACTCTGTCAAGAGTGCAATTCTAATGAGTAGTACGCCAAGTGCACAGCAACAACGAACTAATTGAATGTCGAGAATATATCTGAACGGTAGCATACTAGCTGTCAATATAATATTGAAGTTCGATTTGCATGCTGAGATCAAAGAAGTAAATATGGATATTGCATAAACCAATAGCAATAATCAATATAGATAATATCTTGGATTATATGTGTGTATGTATGTAAGCTGGTAGTTACAATTTTCTCTCTCTTTTGCTTTTTTTTTCCTATGCGTGCACTTATTCTCATTCTCTTGATCCTGTGAATGAGCATGAGTGTGCCTTTGTACAATAATACTTTATCTTAACTTTTACGAGTCACACACAACACATGGTCGGTGCCGAACAATCATTCGCATATATTCGTTCGTTTCTTCATTTTCTTTTTTAATTCTCTTCGCCAAGTCAAGGTCTTCTCTACTTTCAATTTTCTATCATACATATCTATTAAGTTCAATTATCGACTAAGCATAAGTCTTATCTACACAGATACGTTTGTATATATATATATATATTGATCTATCGCAGGCTTGAAAAAAGAAAATTGAAAAATTGTAATTACACCATCAGTACTTCAACTTTCTGTTTTTTTTCTGACGCACACATATACACTCACATAGTCATTGTAACAGGGCGAGTGTGTGTGTGTGTGTGTGACAGAGAGACTCAAAGAAAAAAAAAGGTAGAGAAGTGGTGAACTTTGTCTGAGAAAAAAAAACGAAGAAAAAAACCGCCGACCTCCTACTACCGTCATGCAAATGCACACAATACTAATTGTACAAGGAGAAATGAAACAAAGAAAGAAGACAGACACAAGGAAAGGTACTAGACCACACATATATATATTTATATATATATATATACATTCAGCATCATGGTATAGCTCGTTTCTCTTCCGGTCATAAGTAACGTCGACTCTGGAAAAAAAAAGAGAACAGAAAAAAAAAAGATTATTGACCGGTACCTGTAAGGAAAAATGCCAAGAAGAGAATGAATGACAGGAAGGAAAGAAAGAATGAATTTTATATATAACCATACGTTACAAATGGATACTACAAGTTTGCATCTCATCTTCGTTTACCCTCGATTTGCCTTCTTTTTTTTTTATTCTATAAAAAATCTAACGTGAAAGAAAGAGAAAACGGTCCTTTATTCATTCATCGGAGAATTTCACTAGTACATACTACGACTACTATAACTACAATTACTATGACTCGTTTCATGCCCGTTTTATTCCATTCTTCCAATATTGTATTCATCGTGACGTTTACTCTGTCTGTTCTGTTCTTTCTTCTCTCTGGTATTCTCGACTCTTAACTACTACTATACGCTACGCACGCATAATAATATCTACATTCTATACACATACACACACGTTTTTCATCTTCTCATCTTACAACACGCTTGGTTGTGCATTCGTTTTTTGTTGTTGATGTTATTATTATTTTTTTTTTCTTTTTTAAAGAAAGAAGAACCAAAAAAAGAAAAGAAGAATATATATTAATCTTAATTTTTTTAGATAAATATAGTAATGCCAAGTGTTGATTCAAATTCATCTTATTCATCATCCGATTCATCAACTTCGTCTCTATCATCTCCACGCATACTTCTAACTGACATAAGACAACAACAACAACAACAACAACAACAAGCAATACAATACGATCAACAACATCAAATGAGAACTACAAATAGTAGTACATCACAAATAACTTCATCACATATATGTGTAACACGTTATAAAACAGAATTATGTCGACCATTTACAGAAACTGGAAAATGTAAATATGGTGATAAATGTCAATTTTCACATGGAATTAAAGAATTAAGAATATTAATGCGTCATCCAAAATATAAAACTGAATATTGTCGAACATTTCATACAAGTAAAAACAAACAAATGAATTTTTCTTTTATTATATAAATATTATTTTATTATTTAGCTGGTTATTGTCCATATGGTCCTCGATGTCATTTTATTCATGATATTCATGAAGCACGAACAACGGCAAATATTAATGATACAACAATGCGACGACATTCCGATGTACGAACTAATCAATTTATACAAAAATCAACGACTAGGTATTTCAATTCAGTTTTTTTTTTTATTAACAACAAAAAAAGAAAGAAAACTGATTTTCTTTTTGCTGTTTTTATTTTCAATAGAAATCGTATTACCAGTGATTATACACCATTATCTCCTTCTCATATAATAACTAATTCAAATTCATCAAAAACTCCTTTTTCATTTCAAGAAATTAATCGAGCTTTACTTTCCTATGAAAATAATAGTGATCTAATTCAACAGCAATATCAACAACAGCAACAACAGCAAAAACAAGAATTTTATTCATCTATATTATCAACAATGACAAACTCATTAACACATCGTACATTTTCATCATCATCATCATCGAACAGCAGTTTAGCTCCACAGTATGTTTAAGCTCGTCTGCAGCAGGTTTTTTTTCTGTTTTCATTCACCGTCCGTTCGTTTGCTCTCGTGCTCTATTATACATAAATTATATACATACAGATATATATTGCTCTTTGTTTCAAACTTTTTCTCACGTTTTTTTTTTTTACTATTTCATTCATACAATATTACATACGGTGCTTGTTACTACCATTGTCTGGCTAATGCATATCTTATCAGACATATGATACTTTGCACAACATTTTCAAGTTTTTATTTATGTCAAAAAACAGCAAACATCGGACGTGTTTGTATGTCTAAAATAAGAATGATAGTCATTTGTGTTGAAAAAAAAGAAATGACTAATACATCACAAGTAATAATAATAAAACTTTCTAGCAAATATTTGTCTGCAAGTCAATAAAAGGATATAACTATGTATTCAATTAAATAGATATATTTTATGATAATAATTTAACCCATTGGCTATCTTTATTTAGAAATGAAAAAAATACTTCAAAACTGTGAAAAGAAAACTGTTCGATTTTATTGTTTCATATGTTTTGTAGCCTACAGCAAGTTTTTATTGACACTTCTTTTCTTTTTAACACTATCGTGAATGAATACGCACATATAGACACATATATACTATTCTTTTCTTTTTTCATTTTTTTTTTCGCATCTCATCTGCCCTATTCTTCTTTGTATGATGTACTTATTCATAAGAAGAATTGATGATTGATAGAGTAATGTTTTTGCTTGAGGTGTACAT